GACTTAGTCAAGCCGAGCTATAAAGCCATTTTTATATTTTAACTTAATCGGGAATATATTTATTATTATCACATTTTAAGTTTTTTTAAAAAATTTGAAATCGATCCAAATGGATATTCATATTGTGAAATATCGAATCAAATAAAAAATTGTAAGAAAATAAAATTCGAAAAAAAGACATTAGAATGAGGTTGGGATTGAAAAGAAATATAAATAATCACGACTTTACGTTTCACAATTAATGTAAAATTATTTTGATGTTTATTATGTCCGCATTTCAATTTTTAATATTTAAAATTTATCGATCATATATTTTTCATGGCCGCACTTCAATATTTCCAACAAATTTTAAATTGCTTAAAACGAATATCTATAACTTAAAATACTGAATCAAACGTTAAAAAAAAAAAAAGTCGAGCCGAGCAGTAAAGCCATTTGGCTCGGTTCGGCACACGGCTTGTTAACAGTACCCATAACTCCCTCTTTTATATTTAGTTAAGTTATTAAATATAACATGTGGAGGTTATAACTTTAACCTATACAAATGGCTTTATGACATCATTATATATTTACAATAAACTCTAATTTATTTATATATGTTAATAATCAGAGTTATCAAATCGAGACTACACACTGAACATATTGGACTCCTGTTTGTTTCATTTTAAAAAGTTGATAAAAATATGAGTCAAAATCAATAATTAATTTTAATCACGCATTTTATAGGATCTGCAACCTTTCAACCCAAATTTTATTGAAATCTACTCAAAACTTGATTTTTGTCTATAACATATCAGGGGCTCAATCTGGACAGAAATTGATAACTATGTTAATAATAGCTAATTAGAATTCAATAAAACTAATATATGTTAACACACCATTTGCCAAAATACACCATAAGAGTTCTAATATACTTTCAATAAATATTTTAGTAATTATATTTCAAAAAGTTTTATCTTCATGACTAAAAATTTTAAGAAAAAAAATATTTGGCTGATGATATTGTTAATTAATTTATCTAGTTGAAAAAAGTATTCAAACTATGGTGAAAATACTAAAAATTAGGCTTTTCTCCATCGATAATGAACTAGGAAAATACTTTTGTAAATGAATGGAAGTCCAATCGCAATTGTAATTGAATCCACTAAAAGCATTTTAAGATGTCGATTAGTTTGAGCTCTCTGTTATACAATAAACCAAAAAATCAATCAATTTCTCATTATACTATTAAACTTTTTTTTATTACCAAAATATTAATTTTTCTTGTTATTATTTGTTTTTTTAACACAACAGTTTGTTACGCAGTGTGTTACATACTATGACCACTCGTAAGAAACATGATTATAATTAATACACTTAGTGACCTCCTATAGTTGCCACCACTAATTGTAACATTCAGTGTCACATCATAGCCACAGTCGATGTCACCATTCGTAACATACCATGTTACACCGTTGCCACCACCAATACTCTATCATGATACACCATCAAACTCCAACACCAGAAATTGCCACCATCTACACCACCAGACAATGGTCACCTCCACCATAGACCACTTACCTTCAAACCCTAAATCACCACTAGCAACAAATCTATATCATTGTGCTATTAATAACATGAGCTACATTGAGCCAATATAGTGAATTAATTCAAAGAGAAGAGAAGAAGAAGAAGAAAGAGAGGAAAAATCAATAATATATTGAGCCGTCAAAAATTAGGTTTTCAATTAAATACACAAGTTTATATATTACAAGAAAAGTAAATAAAAAGGAAACCTACAAAAGAAGAAACTAAATATTATGTAATAATATTATATAAGGCTAACATACCCCCCCAAATTCACGATGCTACAACAAAAAGCAGTGAGAGTTTTCAAGCAAGAAGCGAAAATGATGAACTAAATGAGACTTCGTGAAGAAGTCAACAACCTGTAACGATGAGGAAACAAAATGTAGAGAAATGATGTCAATCTGTAGATGATGGCGAATTAGATGACAGTCAATCTCAATATGCTTCGTGAACTCATGGAACACAGAATTGTGAGAAATCTGAATAGCATTTTTATTATCACAATACATAGGGGTTGGAGATGAAGAAGAAAAACCCATGTCTGCAAATAACCAACGCAACCACACAATCTCAGTTGTAGTGAATACCATAACACAATACTCTATCTCGGTAGAAGAACGAGTAACAATAGTCTGCTTCTTAATCTTCCAAGAGATAAGAGAATCACCAAAAAATATACAAAAATCAGTAGTGGACTTGCGATCAATGGGGTTACTAGCCCAATCAGCATCAGAGTAGGCACAAAACACTAAAGAGGAGGTCGATCGAAATAAAAGACTCTAAAAGCAAGTACCACGAAGATAGCGCAAAACACGAACAACAGTTGCCCAATGAACTGTAGTAGGAGTCAAAACAAAATGACTAACAATGTGAATAATATAAGCAATATCGGGACGTGTGATGGTAAGATAAATCATATATCCAACAATGGTGCGATACAAAGTGGGACCAGTCAAGATTACACCGTCATAGTGTGAATGTCGAGCTTAGCCTCAAGAAGTGTATCAACAGTTTTAGTATCAGTAAGTCAAGCATGCTCAATAAGATCCGTGGTATACTTAGACTGAAAGAGAAGGTAACCTCTAGGAGAAGAATTAACTTCAATCCCCAAAAAAATAAGATAATGCACCTAAATCCTTCATTTCAAAACGACGAGCCAATTCTAATTTCAAATCTGCAATCTCATCAACATTATCACTAGTAAAAAGCATATCGTCAACATATAGCAAAAGTAGAATGTGACCAACCGAAGTGCATCTAAAGAATATGACAGGGTCATGATGACTGAACGTAAAATCAAGATAGACAACAACATTGGAGAATTTTTCAAATCAAGCACAAGGTGCTTATTTGAGGTCATAAAGTGTCTTTTTGAGCTTGCAAACATATCCAGGAGAGTGAGAAAGACTAGGAGGATGAACCATATGAGCCTCATCTTGAAGATTTCCATTCAAAAATGCATTTTTGACATCCAACTAAGACAAACTCCACTGACGAACAAATACAACTGCAATAAGTGTACGTACAGTGGTCATCTTAGAAACATGAGCAAAAGTCTCTTCATAATCCAGACCATACTGCTGATTAAAACCCTTAGCAACCAATCTAGTCTTGTAACGCTCAACTGAACCATCAGATTTGGTTTTAATCTTATAAACCCAATGAGAACCAATAGCATGTTCACCTGAAGGCAATGCAACCAAGTCCCAAGTGTCTGTCTTATGTAGAGTAGAGAGTCCATCACCCATAGCATGTAGCCAAAGAGAATCCAGAATAGCTTCTTTATAGGAAAAGCGTTTGGATAGCTTGTGAATAGAGGTTAGAAAATAACAAAAGGACTCAGAATAACGAGAATAAGCAAAATCAGGTAATTGGGTGGACTTACGAATACGTTGAGGATATCGAGGAAGGGAGGGAGCAGGAGATGGATTAACGATCTCAGATAATACTGGGGAGGCCATAGAAGAAGGAGGGGTATCATGAGCCAACGCATGTGTACCTATAGGGCATGAAGAATCAACAGTAAATGATGTATGGGAAGGTGGTATGTCAATATTATCAGATAATGGATCAATACGAATGAGATCAGTTTTTGTCACGTTATGAGCATTATCATAGATAGAAAAGAATGAAACGTTCTCAAAAAACACGACATGCTGAGAAATATATAATTTTTTTATTAATGGGATCAAAGCGGTGATAACCCTTTTGTCCCTACCCATAACCTAAGAAAACACAAATAGCAGAGCGAGATGTCGACTTAGCCTCTGTTTGGCACCCATTTGTTTCTCATTCTCATTCTCATTTTTTTTTCTTTCTTCATTTCAACCACACATTCTATTAATAAAATAATACTACACGGAAACCCAAAAATTCTCATTATTTTTTAACCACACATTCTTCCATCAATCACTATTTCAAAATTCATTTTTTCTTCAAAA